TTGTTGGCAACTCGGCAAAGAAAATTTGGCAAACTTTTCAAACCATTGTTAAAAATTTTCAAAATTTTGAAAGTTATGTATTAATTGTTGATAAAGTGTTATACAATTGAAACTGAGATTAAATGCAATGAATTGACTATAAATAATGAATTGATTAATGAATTATTAATTTAATGCCATTTATTTTTACTTTTCATTTGATGTTTTTAATTGAATGAAACAAATCTAAAGTTATTGTATTGTAATTATCATTTATAGAAAGTTTATTTCGATTATTTGTTTCGTATAATAATACTGTATATGAAACTAAGTTTTTGGTTCAAGTTTTTATTTACGGTATAAATAAATTTTAATGAAATTGAGAAAATTGAATTTATTTTGTAATACAATCATGAATTAGAAATGAAGTGAATTTACATTTTTGTTACAATAAAACATTTGACTTTTCTTATAATTATGAATAGATTAATCAACAATTAAGCGTTAATTGCATTCAATTTGTCGACAATAATTTGTTTCAACATTTTTGCGTCAATATTCTCTACGTTTGAAATTTTGTCTCCAATTTCTTTCATCACTTCTTCGATGGAACTCTTCTTGAGATTCAAACCTTCAAAGTCTTTGAGTTTCTGTTTCGCGAACTATATTTTCAAAGTAAAATGTTTTCAAACATTATAACCAAACAAAGCCTTAAAACACAATCAATATTTACATCAATGATATGGTCGGGAAAGTGAGCCAATTGTGCGACATTTATGCCAAACGATTGATCACAAACTCCTTCATTCACTTTATAGAGAAGCGTCAGTTTGTCGTCAATTATAACGGCAGACAAATGAAGATTTTTAATATTTGGCAACTCTTTGGCCAAATGTGTCAACTCATGGAAATGTGTGGCGAAAAGTGTATAACAATTAATCTCTTTCACTAAATGTCTGCAATGAATAGATGTCAATATTTAACATACTTTTCCACTCATTTGTTTAAATTTTAGATATTTATACTCAGATATGGCGGACGCGAGACCGAAGCCATCGTAAGTGGACGTTCCTCTACCCAACTCGTCGATCACCACAAGTGAATCCTTTGTCGCAGACTTTATATTAAAATAATGGATGAGTTAAACATTACGTATATATCGTTATTATTGAGAACAAACCCTAAAAATAGCGGCCGTTTCTATCATTTCGGCCATAAAAGTGGAAATGCCTTTAATTTGTTTATCTCCGGCACCGACTCGTGTGAATATGGCGTCCATTATCGAAATGGTAGCGCTCTCTGCGGGAACGTATGAACCCATTTGAGCCATCAATACACACAACGCGACCGATCGGATGTAAGTCGACTTTCCGCCCATATTTGGCATCGTGTGAATATGGAGTCCACTATCGAAATGGTAGCGCTCTCTGCGGGAACGTATGAACCCATTTGAGCCATCAATACACACAACGCGACCGATCGGATGTAAGTCGACTTTCCGCCCATATTTGGCCCTAAATTTACGATTTTTTAATTAAACATAAAAAGACAAAACATTTGAACAAAACCTGTGAT